TGTTTTTCGGAAATCGATGGTATTTAATGTCTTTATTTGTAGGGTTTTTCTTGGACTGGTTGTCCGAAATGCATCCAAATATGGCACAACGCATTTTAATAAATGCAAATGGCACAACACAAACTAATAGGTACACAAACAAAACAACGAAACACAAAAACAATAATTTTAGCACAAACAGAACAGGTTAACACAAAGCAATAACAATAATTTAAACACTGAAAAGTAATTCTAACCTTACAGAATGCAAAAACAACAACTTAAACAAAAAAACAGAGCAATTTAACATCTAACAGCTTCGCAAAAACCAGAATTTTAGCGGCAGATAATTAAAACGAACGTTAGAGATTTAAAACTACTCATCAAGTGACGTCATGTGACGTATTTTAGCTCCGCCCACCATGCGCACCATCCTATCTTATGTTGTATGTATCTTGGGGCGTAGGTCACTAAAATTTTGAGGTTATTTCTTTTTAGGAAGCGGAATAACACGAGCAATTTTCCATAAAGTTGGAAAATAGCATTTACATATGCAAGTATTTATTATATGAGTAATATATTTTAATATGAAGGGACAACAAAGTAATAACATATAGGTGTTTATAAAAAGGGGGTGTGTTTTGTATATAGGTATATATTTATTAATAAAATGAGTAGCCAAGCGCTTTCGTCACCTGTCTAGTGACATCATCAGGGCTAGCCTTGTCAGGGCGAGCTTACATTTCTTAGCAGCAGTGAAATTGAACAAAAATACATTTAGCCCTGAGGGGGATTTAACAAAACAAAACATGTCAAAATTTCTAACGTTAGAAATGTAATAATTTTTTAAAATCTGTTTTTGTTAAATCCCCCTCAGGGCTAAATGTATTTTTGTTCAATTTCACTGCTGCTAAGAAATGTAAGCTCGCCCTGACAAGGCTAGCCCTGATGATGTCACTAGACAGGTGACGAAAGCGCTTGGCTACTCATTTTATTAATAAATATATACCTATATACAAAACACACCCCCTTTTTATTAACACACATGGTATACAAGTCAAATAATACAGTTTTATATAGGTGTTTATTTCGTCAAAACCTGCGGATTTCGATTTTATATACTAAGTAAATGTTTATAAACCTCAATTTCGGTTATCGTGCTGAATTTAAAGGTTTCGTAAAGCCGGATTTATAGTTCTAAAAAGTAGGAGTAGCAGTAGCAGTAGCAGTAAGCCAGTGTTGCCAATATAATAATATAAATGCTGCAATGTGAATGACTGGAGTAGCGTTCAGTAGCAACCAAGGTCGTTGGCGTAAGAGATGGGCAAGTTTTAACTTTTTTTGCTGCTACTCCTACTCCAGCCAATCACATTGCAGACATTTATTAAGATATTTTATTATATTATTATATTGGCAACACTGGCTTACTGCTACTGCTACTCCCAGAGACAAGGGGTCTCTGGCTACTCCTACTTTTTAGAACTATAAATCCGGCTTAAAAGGTGCATTTTAGATTATTAGAGTAAAAATCGTGTAAATTTTCACTGATGAAGTTGTTATTATTAACAAATTGTAAAAAATAATTGTTAATATCAGAAGGTTTGTTTAAAAAAAAAGTAGTATTACAGTTTGTTTATTTTTACTATGAATATTTAATTTGTTTAGGCCACTCCAAAAATCGCGTTTCCCAGTAAGCACAGCGTTGATTTCAATATTTGACCAATCTCATTGATTCAATAGAAGTGGTCAATCATTGGGCAATAATTGTATGGTCCATTATTTAGTTAACTGAAATTGTATGTGAAGTCCCAATCGTTGATCAATCATTGCTCAATTTTTAGCCCATTCGAATTGTTAATAATTGATCAATTAACCGGACGTGAAACCGGGCAATTATTGAACACTCCAATACGAACACGGTACTCTGGTTGATTGGCCAATGACTGGGCAATTATTAAATATTAACTACATTTATAGCAAACATTACATATTACAGAAATATCTTTAATATCACCCAAAGAATTATCCCTAGGGATCCCTAAGGATGATTCTTTGGGTTATTTTAAGGATATTTTTGTAGTAGGTACTATACATTTATTTTAATTTAGTAGATATTTAATAATTGCCCAGTCATTGTACAATCAACCAGAGTACCGTATTCGTATTGAAATACCCCGCAATTACCCGGTTTCACGTTTCAGCTGATTTTTTTCAAAAGTAATAATTATTATAAGTGAACTATAAAGACGCATTGTAGAAATAAGACTTATTTCTACCATAACTAGACGTATAAGGTCCAGTGTTTCGCTTGGCCGCATCATAAATTGAAAGTCGAAAATTAAAGTTTGTTTTGGTTTATAAGGCCGAAAATCGCGTTGTGTTTTAGTATATAAGGTCGAAAATCACGGTTTGTTTATAGACAACAATAATCCTGTGGATGTTGAAGACAGTTTTTGCAACCAGTTATAGGTCTATAGACCTATATAGTTGTTCCCTGTCTATTGTTTCTTGTCTATGAATCCATTTCGCATGCGCAAGTAAATTGTACACGTGACGTGGCTCATATTCGTCGGTTATTTGTTAAAAGAAACGTGCGTTTGTCCTGTTAACAGAAAATTTTCATAGAGAATACAAAATTGGTAAGTATTATTCTAATATTATTAGAAACCAGCCGCAATGCTGCCAAAAAGTTATTTATAATGGAAACAAAGAAGGGGCAGTAAGACTTGAAAACACAACCTTTGAAGATGCAATTTATGGTAAATTTACATACATAAATTTTTTAATCGAGTTCTAAATATTTCTATGTTATAGCTTCTCTTGGTGGACGAAAAAGGTTTGACCTTCCAGAAGGAGACGAATTTAAACATGTCGTCACAAAAGCCCTAACAAAGAATTAGGAATTCAAAACATAGATCTCGAGTTTGATTGGGATCACTTCTTGCCGGGCCGCCATTTAAGAAAGTTTGTTGTTTTTTTTCATGTACATGCCCATGCAATAATTGTAATTAATTTATTAGAGAATAAAAGTGTTGAGTCAAGTCATGTCAACTGTGACACAAATATTTATGAAAATTTGTAATGTTAAAATATTGAGATAGGTACCCTGTTTACAAAAAAATCTAAACATTTAAACAGTGAATATATTATACAGGGTGGTCCAGAACTCGTGCCCCACCAGGTAAGGGCTAATGGTAACGACAATAGAGATGCCAAAACTGCTAAATAAAGAGGTTTAATATTGACCAATCCCAGTGGTAGTCAAATATACAAAAAGATGTGAACGAGTCTTAACATTTTACCAAAATTGCATATGTCAATAAAACTGAAAAGCTTCGTCAAACGAAAAGTTGTAAAACTTCTATTCGTTTTTGACAAAGCTTGTGAGTAATATATAAATACACAAATAAGTGAACTAATAAATAAATACACTGTCAAAATGTTAAGGCTTGGTCATATATATCATTTTTGTATATTTGACACCACCCTGGGATTGGTCAATTTCAAACCTCTTTATTTATCAAACAAAGCAGTTTTGCCATCTCCATTGTCATTACGAGTTCTGGACAACCCTATATCCATAGTTTAAATGTTTTGATTTTTTTGTATAGTTTTTTTTAACATTACAAATAGGTATTCAGGATTAGTTAGTATCACAGTTGATATGGATTGACTTTTTTGTAAAATATCCTTTTTTATTTTAAATTTACCTTTCAATTAAAAAAACCAGCCCAAGTTGGCCAATTATTGCCCAATGATGTATCACAAATTGAATTTAACAGAAATGGGCAATTATTGGCCATTCATTGATTTCTATATGATTGATCAATAATTGCCCGTAAATGCGGACGTATCTGTGCCCAATAATTGCCCATTTTGAAATGGACAATTTTTGGGCAATTATTGGGAAGTTTGTGCTTATTGGGTTATTGTTATTATTTGTGCACTGGTTTAGGTATTGCTTTTTTTCATTTTTTATTGAAATATTAGTTTGATTACGGAGCTCCTTGTAGTATACCCAATGATTAATATTGTTTGTTCGCTTGTATCTAGAAAATGCTTTATTTCTTAACCTAATGAGTAGTTTAATATTTTGTGTTAGCCATGGTGGGTTTAATTTCATAAATTTTTTAGTTTTTAGTGGTGCAAGTGTATTAAATAGTTCTAAAATTAGTTTATTGAATAGTAGAAGCTTTTCGTCTATACTTTCTATGGTAAAAATTAAATGAAATGGTGTTAATGATAAAAAATTATCTAATAACTCCATGTCAATGTATCTTAGATTTCGTACTTGCATAAATTCGGGCTTAGGGTTACTAAAGTTTCAAAAAATAGAGCAAAAAACTATACAATGATCACTAATGTCAGATGGTAAGGTACCACATGATTTATAAGCCAAATCATTAGAAATTAAAATTAAATCAATTATTGTTGAAGTAATGCGAGTAATACGTGTCGGATCTGTAATTATTTGCCGTAAATTGAAAGATTAAAAAACAAAAAATCAATCAAAAATAGTCTTCGCTTTAATACTTTCTATAATATTCAAGTAACTTAAACAGTTTTTATCATTTTTATGATATCATAATTTGTTTTAAACAATCGGTTATTATTAACACAGATGACGCAGTTTAATTTTTCGCAATTTAAATTGCTTTCATGAATACTTCCACAATTTTTACAAACAGGTTCGGATTTGTTGCATTCTTTAGAATTATGCCCATATTCCAAACAGTTAAAACACTTTTTTACATAAAAAGAGTCTTTAACAGAACATTTTCGCCAGCCAAAATAAAGTTCGTCTTTCTTTAAAATAAGTTTTCTTAATTCTGGTGATACTTCAACTATTAAATTAGTATTTGTTTGATTTATTTTGGGATTTTCTTTATAAATCAACTTTATATCATTTTTATATACTTCTAAATCATTTCTATTTATTAGTTCAGAAACATTATCATGGTCGTTATCACTAAGATCATTTACTAGTATTCCTCCAATTCTTAGCCTAGGTAAAAACTTACGTGGTGGTTGAATTTTGAAATTAGAGTTTGCTTCCAAATTTTGCTGTAATTTTTCTAAACTTTCTTTATCATTACAGTTTACCACTACACCACCTTTTGTTATATTTTTAATATTATTCACTTGTACATTTAAATCTCCTGGTTTTATCAAATTCATTACGTTATTGGTATTTATGTTTTGGTTTTTATGCGTAGGGAGTATAAAAAATGTGTTTTCTTGCTTGGATTTCTTTGATATATCACTGTATAGTGGCATCTGTATATCGGTAGTTAAACTATTAATACATTCGGTTTTATTGCTAGCAGATAATAAAAGCTCCATATTTGTAATTTTTTCCTCTTGTAATTTGTTAACATTTTCCAATTGTTTAATTAGTTTATTCAAAGTGTTATTTTGCATCTTGAGATGATTATTTTCTTGAATTAACATACCAGTATTCACTTTTACAGCAGAATTTTCAGTTAAGAGCTCACTACAATAATCACATTTCCACTGTTTAGCGTCAATTCCTTTTTCTTTGACTAGCCTTTCAAGGCATTTAGAATGCACCAAATTATTACATGAGGTAAATTGTACACCAACTCTAACACCGGAATTACACAATTCACAAACTGAACTTTTTTTCTTTTGCTGTAGGTCACCACTCAGTAGCATCATTGTCATCGTCGTCTTCATTCGGCGGCGCCATGTTGATTAGTCGGTTATGATGTAAGTGGCTATAAATTATTGGACATAGTTAATCAAAAATTTATAATGGCATGAATATGTTTTCATAAAATCAAAACCAAGTTTATACGAGGATGGTGATAGGAATATTGGTACTCATACTATTGCAAAAAGTGATAAAGTAGAGACCACTAACATTGTAGAATCGAACAGTCAAGTTACAACGGGTACTACTACTACAGAAACTGTTAAAAGTTCAGATGAAATAGAGACATCTGTACAAAAAAAAAACGAAATCAAAGTATAATGGGTTGCATAACATAACATAACATCCATATCTCTGCATAACATAGATGCTTAAATTTATTTATTATGGAAATACCCGAGAATCCAGACTTAGGAAATAAAGGGAATCCCATTCTTGGGAATAAGTTAAATATATAATAATACTTTCTCAGTCTTATTTGTGCTTTACTCCAATAAAGTCTATTGTGCTATTGGTTATTTGTTAAATTCCCTGCCCTGTACTCAGCAATTTTCTTTTGCACTTGTATTTGATTGACAGTGGTTCACTTTAAATCGTTGTTTTGGACCTGAGTTTATCACTGTTGTGACACGGTCGCGCCTAATGAGCACTGATTTACAACCTCTTGCCTCGAGGTGTAGAACAAGACTGAAGTAAAATTGCAGACTGTAATACTTATTGATCAATTACTGCCACAACCCTCATACCACTAAACCCTGTATACTAATTGATACTTTATCAATAATAATTTTCCTTAATTAGTATTATTGATAACAAAATACCTGTAAAAATAATGAGAATATGGCAAAACTCCCAAACATTTTTCTTTAATTAGTTCAAAATCATCTTGAGACCAAACTTCTTGTAAGCTAACTAAATCGTATTTCCCCAGTGCCAAATGTTCCGCTATAGCTCTTATTCGATCTTCCCTATTTTTTGAAACATATTTCAGTCCCCTGTAATTAAATTTTTAACATTTATAAAACAGACAATAATTATTCATGTTACTTACCACACGTTAAAAGATAAGACGCTTAAATTCATGACTTTCTTAGAGGTGATTATGTTAGATCTAAAACAAAATAAATAAAGACTTTTCTATTGCTAAAAACATAAAGGAATTCTTTTGACATCACAGCTGTCATAAAAAAAACTCTAAAAGGACAGCTGTCCAAAAATGATAACAAATTGGCGCCATCTATTCACCATTTATGATAAATGATTTATCTAATCTATGCATCTATTACAGATGTCTTGCAATATTATTTTTAGGTTATTGCACTACTTTATCTAATCTATGGGTTATTGGTAGCTATAATATATTATAATTATAGAAAACCTTACCTGTTATCTACGCCCATATTAGAGTCGTCTATAAAATAAATAAAGAGACATAAAAATGTTATTAATATTATAAGGGAGTAAAACTCTGATTTGGTAGACATCTATTTTATTATTATGTACAGACAAGTTCTACCGGTAGGCCTTTATATTTCACAACACTTTCTTTCTTGTTCAAAATACATTTCTTGGCGTTAAATACCTATACCGTTAGAAAAGAAAAAGAAACTATAGGTTGTCCCTTTCTTTAGCCTTCATTGGATTGTTAAACTATCCAAGTATCATAGTTTTTTTTGTGTTATTTTTTTAAAAGTTTTACTAAAAGCTATCGTAATAAGGTGAAAATTAAATTAAAATTTATTCATAAAATAAAAATATCTGGAACATAAATGATAATTAGTATGTTAAATTAACAACAGATGTCAGTTTAAATTGAATTTTTGGCCGGTAAGGTAGATTTCTATTTTAAAAAATGACATTGTACCTTCTTTATCTCTGCATTGTACTTTTGACAGATCGTTTCTAGAACGTTTACCATATTAAAGTTTTCAATATTTATAGTTTAATACCAAAAAATTCATCATGTCTTATATGTTAGCACATTTACACAATGGCTGGCAAGTCGACCAAGCTATTCTATCGGAAGAAGACAGAGTGGTGGTTGGTCTACCCATTCGTTTACATATTTTTAAATTGTTAAATGTTTTGTTTTTAGGTTATTCGTTTTGGCCACGATTGGGACCCTTCTTGTATGAAAATGGACGAAGTTGTATACAGTATTGCCGAGAAAGTGAAAAATTTTGCTGTGATTTATTTAGTTGATATTACTGAAGTACCTGATTTTAACAAAATGTATGAATTGTACGATCCTTGCACTGTAATGTTCTTCTTTAGAAACAAGCATATTATGATTGATTTAGGTACAGGTAATAATAACAAAATTAATTGGCCTTTAGAAGATAAGCAAGAAATGATTGATATAGTAGAAACAGTATACAGAGGAGCAAGAAAAGGTAGAGGTTTAGTGGTATCACCAAAAGATTATTCAACAAAATACAGATATTAGTTTATATGGTTTATTTATTTCAATATATTATGTTTATGTATTATTGGTGTTTTCTTCTGAATTTTCTGTCACCAACTGTACCAATGGTCTAGATTCAAATGTATGTTTCACTAAAAATTAGTTTAATAAATATACTGATATATTTTAGTGAATATATAAGGTGCTTTCCAATTGACCATTTCGAGTAGAAGCCCCAATGCTACAATGACCCAAGCAACAATTTAAGTATTTGTTACGTATATGGGACTATTGAAGAAACTTCAAAGTGTTTTGCGACAGTCGCCGGTCTCTTTATATTACTCTTTTATTACTACGTTACGACTAAAGTGGGGAACAATTATTGAGTTCCAAAAAGGTAGCAAATATGTCACTAGCTACAAACCCTGCTACTATTTGGGACGTAGCTGCTACGTTACTAGAACGTTCCAATATCGTTGCTAGAGCGTTATAATTACTTTTATTATTTGTTTTTACTTCTATATTAACTGTCTTTGTCAAAATTATATTAGATTATACTATCCCTCCTTTTTTAAATGGAACCACTACGGACTTGGCTTTTCAATGTCGTCGTTTATTAAATATGTACTGGTAGTTTATAACTTCCAGAATAACAATATAATATTTAATTAGACAGGTAAATTTATAAACCCTTTAAATTTTACTGTTAAACTTATGAATTTAGTTTTTGTAAAATAAATGCGCTTCATCAATACTTAAGTATACAGAAATTATTTATTTAATAATGTTTAAAAATAAAAAAATCTTAATATTTATTATTAATTTTTTTATTTAATTATTAATACCGACTATTACCAACAAAATTACTATTTATTAAAAAGTAAACAACCATTTACAAACAATTAAAATAATTTATTATTTACATTACCACGTGGTACTGTACAGTAAAAAATGGCCGATAAGAAGCATTTTCCTTTGAAGTAGTTTTCGCTACTTTAAAGTTTTTTTCACTTTACGGTTGTTTTGGTTAGTACCATAAACGTTCCAAATACTAAAATAATAACTTTTAAGTTATTAACTTTGTAGTTTTTAACTCATGTTCCAGTTTCGAGATTTTAACTTGCAAAGGGACTACAAAGTAAAAATAATTATAATGTAATCTTTAGGTAGCAACCGAAAGTAAGTGCTACAAATTAAATTTACTTGAAAGTTTTTTTTACTTATAACACCTTTTTTAAAGTTGCAAAGTCTTCTTGGGGGCAACCAAGTTTTACTTAAATGTTTATTACTTTATAGTAACCATTTAAGGAAAAATTAAGTTTATGTTACAAAATATTGCTATTTAAAAGTTAAAATTACTTTTAAGTAAAAATTAAAGTAGCTGTTTAGTATACTTAACTAATTTAAAGTTATCACCACTTTGGCAATGGTTTTTGGAACCAAAAATGCTGCTTGGGGAGTGTAAAATATAAGAGTAATGGAAACACAAACTTAAAACCTGCATTGTTTGCTTAAAACAGTCAATTGGAAAGCACCTATAGTGAATAGTATATGTTAAATAAATACTTACCAACATCAATGTTCTGCAAATCATAAACCACAAAATTATTAGATTTCTTATCACCACCAGCAGTTATAACAAAAGGTGAGTCTGGACATAACTCTAAACAATGGATATTTCCAATTTTAAATTCTTTTTCATTCACTAATTTTGGAGTAGTGTCCTCATTAAAATCCCAGGTTTTTAATGTTTCATCAGGAGAAGCAGTAACCATAAGGCCTCCACACTGGCCGCTTAAAGCCAAACCTGTAACTTCTTTACTATGGGCCTGAACAGACCACAGCAAACCTTTACGGCAGTCAAAAGCCTGAACTAAACCCTTACTAGTTCCAGCTATAAACATAAAAGGCTGCAAAGGATTCCAAATCAGCCTTTCTGCCTCTCCATCTAAAAAATAACACAAGCGTTTTATTTTGAAATTTGATTATTAGAATTTTTGTACTCAAAAACTGAATTCGGATTTTCTTAATACATACAGAGAAAATTGTATTTAAATTTTTCATTTTAAAAAGCGTTATTTTAAGACGGTTTTAGGATTTTTTATGCTGCTTTTTTGTTATTTAATAGTTTGGGTCATTTTTCATAGCTTTATGAAATTTTCAATACTTTGGGTTTTAGGGCATTTACACAGTTCTAATAGATATTTAAACAATTCTTATACAGTTTGGGTCATTTTAGTAGTTTTAGAAAAATTGGGACATTTTAAAACTTTTAAAATATGTAGTATTGGTGATTTTAAATGCTTTAAAACATTTTTAGTCGAGTTCAGATTTATAATACAGTCAAAATTTGATAACTCAAACCATGACTTCCCACAAAAAAAACTTCAAATTATCAAGACAAGTTATTAAATTACACATAATTCTCACTCTTGGCACTATTGCCAACCAATTTGATTCAAGTTATCAAAAATTCGAGTCATTAAAGTTTGACTTTATAGCCAAATTTCAATATTTCACATTTTGAGGTACAATGGGTAATGTGTATTACTGTGCCTTAAAGTTTCTATATTAAATTATCAAATCAAAAGGATCTATATTAAATAATTAAAATAAGAAAAAAAGCCGACTTACATTATAAGATTTAAAATAGGTCTCATAAATTTATTACACCTATTTTACACTTGTTTGTCTCAATTTCAATTATATATTTAGTTTTTGTATAAATATTAAAATGTACATAAAAAAATTTAATTAAAACATAAAAAACTTTTGAAACACTAGAATAAATTTTATTTGTATAGACCTTTTAACTCAAAAATTCATGGTGCAAATTGTTTGGGACATATTTTTATACCTATATTCCAGGTTTGGTGATTATCTGGGGTTCTGCAATCAAAAACGCGGGCTGTACAGTCGCAACCACCAGCCAATAAAGTCTGTGCCTCCAGTTTGTGCCATTCAAGGCACTGTACTTTATCTGTAAATGCATTTATTGTTGTGGTAGGAGTTTGATGCTCCATATCCCATAATAAAACTGTATTATCAACTGAACCACTGGCAATAACATGATCAAATGTTTTATTCCATGCCAATGCCAGAATGGCATCAGTATGTCCAATGTGTTGTCTATTTTTTTTCTGGTTGGCTTTTTGTCCTAATTTAAATGAAGGTTCTATGGAATTAATTATGTCAATGTCCCACACCTCTATAATAGGGGACATTGAGCCAATGGCACAGTAGTTTCCTTTTGGCATATTTGGTTCATAATCCAGCCATTCTAAACACAGTGGAAATGACGGTAGCAATATATCATGGTGAACATACAAAGATTCTTCTTCTTCATTGTAAACTAAAAGTTGTGTAATTTAATTTTAGAAAACTACCTACTCAAAAACTAAAATATTTTACCATAAACCTCTAAAATACTAGCATCTCCTTCAACATGTCCAACAAGAATTAAGTTATCAGTGTTTTTAATAATGTCATCTTCTTTTTCAGAATCGTCCGATTCACTAAAATTGTCAGTCTGATCTTCTGCAGGTAACTCTGCCAAAGATGCAATACCTAATGCATTTGCAGTACCTTTTTCGTCTAAAAAATTAAAATGAGTACATATGTTAAGTTTTTATTTAATTACTTACCATCCTCGTCATATTTGTCCAAGTTAAACTCATCCGTACCAGAAGGTTCACCTTCCATTGCAGCGTCTTCATTTTGTTCAACATCATTAACACTAAAATACTATCCATTAACTAACTAACTAACTAAAAATATCATACGTGCTTTAACTTTTCCTTGGTATCCTTTATAATTTGTATAAGTTCATCTTTTGATAGCTGAACCTAAAAATTCAAACTAGGAAGTTTTTGTGACATTGTCATTTGATTTACCTACTTTTGAAGGATTTGTATTGGCAACTCCCCTTTTTACCCACCGAACACACGGCACAAAATTTACATTTTGTTCTTCCATAATAAAAACATAAAACACACGTGTTTTGTTAATTCGGCGATAATTGAGGTTACATGATACAAGGAAACATGTAATGCTACTATTGAAACCAAATTTCGTCCGCCACGCGCATGTACTAGAGGTGGGCTGTTCGATACGATACGTATCGATACAAGTGATACGAACGGGATATCGTTAGAATCGATATAAATTTATGTATCGAATATTTAGCTACCCGGACAACATTCGTGATATTCATACGAACATCACGTCGTGATTTTCACAAATTTTATTCATACGGACATCATCCGGATGTCACTGAGTGAGAAATGAAGATTTTTTATGCCATCGCTGTTTGCGAAAATCATGTAGTATTTTTTTATGCCAACGGTGTTTGGATAATCATTTTTGCGCCACGTTCGTACACTAAGAGAAAAATTATGTTGAATCAACAGTTTTTGCGGTTAAATACGTAATGTATAATATATTATACATTTAATATTTTCTTGGATTTAAATTAACTATATACTATATGTATATATATATATATGTATATATGTAATTAATGTTATATATTAAAATACTGAATACCTTTTGACATAAGGAATAAAGGAAAAATATTTTAAAAAGCATTTTTCCAAAGATAAAGAAAAAATATGCATTAGAAGTTTTTTATATTTTTTGTGATACGCCACTGGTTACACACTTGTTTATCTCTGCACACCTGTATTTTGTGAGTACATAGATACCAACCAACAAAGTAGCTATGCGTTGCCAGATTTAAAAAATTGTTACTAAAAATTTTTCTTGCAAAAAATAAATAAAAACTCAATAAATACAAAAGTTTTATGACCTTAAAGCTTTAATACCCTTCTGTATTTATTTACTGATCCAGCTATTAGCTTAAGCAATGATTATAAAATTTAGTACCTTTGAAATTTGAAATCCATAACCACAAAATTATTTTTTTTTTCAAGCGGCCATGATATACAACCTTATATGCCTGTATAGAGATAGTTGAAGTGCGTCTTTTTCATTAGCGGCAGACAAAAAACTCAAAAAAGCCTAGGGATAGAAGTAAATCCATAGGTGTCTCAATAGACGTCAAATAATAAAATTAATTTAGCATTTCATACAAAGCAATCACGTTGTATTAATAATCGCACGGAATATTTAGTGATTATTTATTAAATTTTAATTGAACGAAATAAAGAACAACTAGTTTATTAGTATAATATTATGATGATAGACGAGTTGCCAATGTCGGAACTCCAAACAAATGTCAGTACGTCAAAATTAATTCAAGCGCAGCCAGTGATGCCAACTCGTGGGAAATTTCCCATTTTGAGGGAAATTTTACCTCAAATTGAGACAAATGGGGAAAAGGGAAAAATTTTCAAAAAAGGCCGTACATGAGGGAAATTTATATCAATTCAAAATAAAAATTTATAATTAACCCTTTCCTACTTTTTCTAATCAAATAATTCGGATTTTTCTATATTTTATGACTTTTTTTCGTATTTTATACAAAAAATGTATATAACTTTTAATGTAACAAAACTTTATTTGGATTTACATAATAAAAATATGTATTCTTTTAGAGATCAAAACAATAGGCCGTATTTATAGAAGAAAGGATATACTTATACTTGCAAAATATGAACGAAATCCTTCAGCTTTTATTTACATATAATCATTAATACAAGCTAAAGGATTTCCTTCATATTTTACAAATATAAGCATATATTGATAAAAAAGGATATATATATCCTTATAAGGATATATCATTTTTTATCAATATGGCAAATTGTTTTATAATTTTATTTTACATATATTTTTGTATTTATACACGTTGTTTTTTATAGGTTTACTAATAAATACTGTTGCTAAATCTTTAAAATGCTGTTTTTTCCAAAATAATATCTCTTATATTTAAAAAAACGGGTAACAGCATATTTCAAAAAGCGTGGGAAAAAAGGGAATTTTTGAACATTTTCGAGGGAAATTTGTTGCAAAAGGGTTGGCAACACTGAGCGCAGCATTTTGACAGAGCTTGGTTTATTTTTAGTTTAGGATATTTTTCGGCATTGTAAGTAAGGGTTTTAAGTTTTTTTAGTTTTTATAAATAATTTCTAATGCTTTTAGCCAAAATTTTATACCACATGAGTTAAGAGTAAATAAAATAATTCCATTGCTTATCCTATTTATATTACGCCCTTGAAAAAAAAATTGTATATGTTATTTGGAGTAGAAGCTCTTTTTGTGCTTCGTACAGTTGCCTGCCTCAGCTACGCTTCGGCCGTCAATCTCTGTACTCACCACAAAAAGAGTCGCTTCTACTCCTTATGACATAATCTACTATTTTCATCAGTTTTTTTCTCTGTTTACTCAGATGAAATTGGGACCAGTTCACAGGTTAAACTTTAAACATTTAATTTGTGTAAATAAATCCAAAAGCACTTCCCTTAGTTAGGATATTTACAATTTGAAAAGAAATGCACTAGATTCTGTCATAAAAGTTGTCAGATTTTGTTTGAATTTACCTTCAGTACAAAAATGAAATAACCAACAATTAATAAAAACGCCAAATTGACAATTTGCATTGTAAATTTTGTCATTTTTGTAATTAAGCTAAATTTAAACAATGTTTGTCAACTTTTTTGAGAGATTTTGGAATACTGTTGTTACCATTGGTAACTTACCAACCATAACATAATTAATCCACCAGATTAACCTAAATTTCCTATTCGATCAATGGCGTACTTTTTGGTAGGATAAAGGTTATTATAAATTATTTTTAGACTTTGGAATTTAGAAAAAAAAAGTTTCAGGTGCTTCTTTATGGACCCTAAGGAACAACCCATTTTAATATATAACATTAATTACATAACACCCTGTATAGTTAATTTAAATCCAAGAAAATATTGAATGTTAAACTGTTGATTCAATTGTTAACATACTTTTTCTTTCAATGTACGAATGTGTCGCAAAAATGAATATCCAAACACCGATGGCAAAAAAATCATGTCGTGTTTTTTTATGACCAAACACCGATGGCATAAAAAATCATGTCGTGATTTTTTATGCCATCGGTGTTTGGATATTTATTTTTGCGCCACATTCGTACATTGAGAGAAAAAGTATACCTACATATATATTGAATCAACAGTTTTTGTGGTTAAATCCATTCAATATTTTTTTGGATTTAAATTAATAGTTAATTTACATCCAAGAAAATATTAAATGTATTTAACCGCAAAAACTGTTAATTCAATTGTTAACATACTTTTTCTTTCAATGTACGAAAGTAGATGTACTATGTGCGTTCTACGCCAGCTGCAGCTGCGGCTGCGCAGCTTCGAAAGGCAAACGTATAGGACGACCAAAAGCCCCTCCCCTCAGCTGCGGTGGAGGCAGGGACTATTCAAAAAATTCATATCAGATAAAAAACAAAATGGCTGCCTTGTGTATCTTATTGGTTGGAGGCCTAATCGGGGGGGTGAGGGGTATCAACCTTTGCAGGTGATTGTTTGGAAGATGTGGTTTTGAGCTGCCTTCTATAGATAAGGAGGTTATGAACTGCAGATAAGCTTGTCTCGACTTGTTAATATTATGATGTGTGACGTCAAGCGATAAAACATTCTTTATCAATTAAAATTATTTTATTGTTTTTTGAATATTAAGTATTAATAGGACATATTTTTCATATATAATCAGTCTTTACTTATATTTTATATTGAGCGGTTATGAATTTATTGATTACATTGCTATTTTTACCCTCTATTATTTTAGCAGAATCTGCTAATATAAGCAATAAAGAAATTGTAATAAAATATCTTCAAGATTTTGGTTATCTTAAAAGTTTAAATAATTCAGTTGTAAATTTAGAGCAAGGTTTAGTGCAATTTCAGAAATATTATAATTTAAATGTAACTGGGGAAATAACCGAAGAACTTGTACAGGTTATTAAAAAACCTCGATGTTCTCTATCAGACGATAGGGCTTTTAAATTAAAGAGCAGATGGGATAAAAACATAATTCATTGGTATATTCATCCTTATAATGAACATATCAAAAAAATTGCGGCTTACGCATTTGATGACTGGCAAAAAGTTGCTAACTTAAAGTTTATTTTTTCGGAAAAAAATCCTGATATAATAATATCGTTTAGATCCTTTGAACATAAATATTCAACTCGATGTAAAAAAGGGATATGCCCATTTAAATTTGATGGATCTGGCAATGTACTGGGTCATGCAACTTTCCCAAATCATAATCAATGTCAGGAAATTCATCTTGACGAAAGCGAATATTGGTGTTTTGGATTAGACACACCTAAAGATGATAATAAAGTAAGTTTATTTGCTGTTATTCTTCACGAAATTGGACATAGTTTAGGGTTGGCACATTCTAACAATTATAATTCTGTTATGTATGCATACTATTCATCAAATTCCATGGATTTAAGTAAAGATGATATAATGGGTATACAATATTTATATGGAAAACCCTCGACAACAACAACAGAATCAATAACAACAACCAAACCTAAAAAATTAGAACAAAACCAGCAACCTTTACCAAATATAATGGATTTATGTCAAATTGAATATCCACAACAAATGCTAGTAACCAATAATAATCATTTTTATATTTTTCACAACGGCCTAGTGTGGATTCTAAAAATAGGAGAAGCCTCCGGTGTTAATCTTAAAAGACCTATGAAAATTAGTGATTATTTAGGCGCCTACAGCAATTTTTCGGATATATATCAAAAACCTAATGGTCGTATAGTATTAATAAATAACTTAACATTTAACGCAATTTTTTATCCAAGTCTTGCATATGAATCATTTAATAAATCAATAGAAAATTTTGATATCCCAAAAAATAGTAGAATAAATGCTATTTTTAACTCGAACATGGGTAGAACTTTTATTTTGTACGATGATTGGTATCTTAACGAGTTTGATGAATGTAGTTTAAAAACCATTAATCGAGGTCTTTTCAAGGACTACTTTCCGGGGGTGCCTTTAGATATAACTTCAGCATTTCGTTATATAAATGGAAATATTTATTTCTTTAAAAATAATATATTTAAC